GAAATGGAAACAACTTTTTGAAATTTGTAGTGAAATTTTGATGCATGTACAGAGAAAGCAGAGTTTTCAGTTGTAATTAGTAGGAGGAATAGAAAATGTACGTCTACTCCATCTTCCTAGAAGTAAGAGTCCTCCATTGAAATCCTTGAACCAGTTTATTTTACCTAGAACAGAATCTGAAGAAACTGTACCATCATTAAGAGGACCACAGTTTACGTGCAAACTCTGCTTAACTCTAAGCCCAAATATTTTGCTTCCATGGCAGTTCTGACCAAAGATGTGGAAGTCTGCCCTGGATGGGAGCGCATGACGTCTATAAATCAAGTTGGGAAGAACTAACATCTTGATAATATTGAGTCTTCCTATCCTCACTCATGAAAAATTTCTCCATTTATTTGGTTCTTTGTTTCATTCATCAGAGTTCTGCAATTTTCTTCATATAGATCTCGTACATATTTTGTTAGATTTATATCTGAACATTTTATGAAACAGACCTAAGAAAATGTGGAGAGAAAGAAGACCAGGTAGGGACCTCAGGACTCAGGGGACAACATGGGGGTGAGTTGGCTGAGTTTTCCTTTGCATTATCCTAGACATGGAAACAGAGAAACCAGCAACCCTGAAACACCATAGGACACAGACACAAAATGCCCCCAGCAAAACTCTCCTCTCTATGGACGGACCAGCAAAGAAGCAACCTAGCCAGACAGAAAACCTCTGGACAATAGCTACTCTACTTCAGCCAAATACACAGAAAACAAACACAAAATACGTGGTCTCATTGCTACCTCGTGGTCTCATCGCTACCTCCTCAAAGTGGGGAGCCCAGGCTTCCATGCTTATCCCCACCCTCCCCGGGGCAGAGAAGGCCAAGTAAGGAGCCTGCACCTGGGTGTCAGAGGAGGCCTAGTGGGGAGCCAGGATTTTTGCCATCCCGTGATAACAAGGCCACCCCTTCTCAGGGTCAGTGGACACCACATGGGGAGCTGGAACGCACTTCCCTCCTCAGTAGTAATGAGGCCCCCTCTTTAATGTCCATACAGGCCGAGTTGGGTGTGTGGACTTCTCTGCCTGAGTAACAAAGCGGCAACCCCTCTTCCTGGCCAGAGAAAGCCGGCTAAAACAGAAGGTGTTCATTAACATCCGGTGTCTCATAATGTAACATGAAATGCCCAGGTTTCATCCAAAAACCTCTTGTCATAAGGATTTCAATTACGCAGTTACTAAAATCTAAACTCGAGGAAAAAAATAACAAGAAATTCTCATGTGACTGTTCAAGTAATATTTAATCTTACAAGTAAATGGGACTGGAGAAAAATGCAAGCAATTATAGTAACTGGTTATTTATTTCAATGTATTTCAAGAATGCTAATAGAAGCAGGTAAAGCCTTACGATTATTAAGCCCTGAACTGGATGCTATGTTGAACATAAAAGAGAGAGAGCTCTGGTGATGGGAGCTTGGAAGGAGAGCTCAATGGAAGGAATGGGGTTGCCATGGAAGGAACGAGGTTATCCAGAGAACCACGAAGTAGTGGCCTTGAATTATGAGATTAAAGAGTTCAGATGAACGGATTTATGGTTACCAGTGGGTAAAAGGGGTGGGAAGAGAGAAACTGGGAGTTCAAAATTTGCACATCCTGGGGAGAGATGGAAGTGTTAAGTATCTTGATTGTGGCAGTGGTTTCATCGGTGTAGACATCTATCAAAATTCATCAAATTGTACATCTGAAATATGTGTAGTTTATTGTAAAGAATTTATACCACAATAAAGTTTTTTTTTAAAGAGTTCAGATGTATAATGGGACCTGTAAACTCTGAAATTTTTCTAGAAATATCTGGGGAATAAAGCTAGCGAGATTCTTGGATGTAGGAATAATTTTTAGATTTTACTGGAGAAGTGTTTTATGTTTTCCTAAGGAAGTGGATCATCTATTTGGTTGCCCATGTCAGTAAAACTAAAAAAGTGCTTTAAAAAATCTTAAACATTTCCATCTTTAGTGTATGTTGTCACTGATCGTTCAGATTTTGGGGGGTGACTTTTGAAAATCTTTAAAAATGGAGAAGATGGCACTCTTAAGAAGATGAAAAGTACTGCGAATTCCTTAAATAATCTATTGTACATCGCTCCTCTCCCCCGGCTCCAGCACTGCTTAGCATTCACGTATCTGGAGACGGTGCATGAGAAATGAATCACTTGTTTAATTGTGCAACCGAGTTTGTCTCCTTTTGATTCCTGGGAGGGAAAACGATGATTAGACGTGTTTACTTAAGGGTAAGCAGTAACTGAATGCTTTTTGAGCGGCTGGAGGAGTATTTGAAAGAGTAATGGTTTACGCAAGCTTTGGGTTCTGCCCACCCAGAATGCTCTATAAAACCTTCACTCTTGTTCTCCCCGGGATGAGCCTTCCTGAATTTACCATATAAACTTTTAATGAGTGACCTATTTGCAAAACTCTCTTCCGGATTGGCAAACACAAGTTAAAAGAAACTTTTTTTTTGGTTAACTTCTTTTTCTTTGGATTTCCCTGGCTGAACCTTACTTACCAAGGTGGGAATCAGTCACACACACACACACACACCTCAACCCATCCACCCCATACAGAGCAAATTCTTTAGTAAAAAAACAAAACAGAACAAAAACATATACCCCTCCCCGCAAACCCAGCATCCACGGCTGCTCTTTTACTGTGACTTCAAAATGAAATTAGGCCCAATAACATTGATTAAAAAAACAAAACAGTATCTGCTTTAGCCTATAAGGTATTTAGACATAAAACACAATTCCTATCAAATGCTAGAGCTTACCTAATTATTGAAGTAAGGATGAAATGATGCATAATGAAAGAAGCAAAAGGGAAAAAAAAGACTTAAATTTTGATTTAAAGCTACTAGAATGCATTAATGCTATTATCCATCTTTTAAGACAATTTTACAAAACAGAGGAAAACATTTTATTTCTTGCCCACACAAAGCAAAACCAATGAACCCTCCGTGTTATTCCCTTCTCATTGTTTATTTTGTCTTTCCTTTGGAATTTACATACAAGATGTAAATGAAATTCATATCTGAATGAATGAGACTAAAATATGAAAAGATGATTATTCCATTATGTTGAATTAGTAGATCAGCCATTCTTATAACCCCTCAAATGTGCATGTTTCTGAGGAAGCAGTGCAGTAAAACAGGGAACTTTGAGATTCTATTTTTGTTGTTATTGCCCTTTCTATACTTTTCAAATATTGAAACCCCAGCAAACAATACAGTTATAGTTTGACGATGTCGTTAAAAAGCTATAATACTCTGGAAAAAAGCCATTCTATTCCCACATACTCTTCAGGGAATAAGAATACTTTTCCAATGAGAAACTCATGCGTCCCTATAATTAGAAAACTTCAGTGCTCTTTTTAAAAAATTCCAGCAAAATTGAACACTTTATAAAGTTTTGGGAAAAAAATGCTCATAATCTCATTATCTTGTTGCAGTTTTTTTTTGGCACGTCCCTCCTCCGTCCTGACCTCATGTGTAGTTACTAGACGTTTTAAGGCATATTGTGTTCCCTTTTTTCTTAACAATGTTTTTACCCTAAATTTTATTTCTGTGCACTTGTATCATACTTATCATTTGTAATACTTTTAACAATCTCATTTATGGGAATTTATCACATGGAAAAGTTCAGCTGAAGGAAAAAAACCTCTTTTTAAAGATGTTCATGACTGTCTTATAGGTAATAATAAAATAATGAATACAATACTTGTTCAGCAGTGGTAAATCACGGCCTATAAATTGTATGGAATATGACATTAGTACCTTTTTCAAGAATAGACAAAAGGATAAAGATTCTGGTCATGGCTCTCTGGTTGGCTTCAGTGACCCTAATGGTCAAGCCGAGTGTCACAGTCGCTTGAGGAATCTTTCAGTGGTGCCTTCGGTGTTATGGCTCTAACAGAAGACCTCACTTGACAGACAGAATGGGAAGAGATTAATAAATAAGGAAGTCCCAGGGATGGCCCAACCATTCTTTGGCATTTAGAACAAAACAGAAATGAAATATGCCACCAAATTTGGCAGTGCTACAAGCAGAGATGAGCCGACAAGTCGTAGACTTTATTCTTTCCCATCAGGCTCACACACACACACACACACACACACACTATTGTGTTGGGCTGACCTTGGTCATTGGCTCTGGAATCCCAAACAGGAGAAAATAACCTGATATGACAAGAAACAGCGTGGAGAGACTGGATTAAACTGCATTGAAACCCTGGATGCAGGCATTCTGGGTGGGGCTGGTCCCACACAGAACAAGATACTCAGCTCCCAGTGCAAACTGTAAATGTTCTTCCACAGAAAGAGCCGAGGCTGTGATCGCTGCCCACGGCACCCTCGCAGTTCTCATCTGCGTCCGTCAGACTGGCCGTGCAGACTGGGACTCGGGGTTTTTGCTGGATATAGTTTCCCCATTGGAATATACTTTAAAAATGTTTTAATTTAACATCATTCTCTTTAGACAAAGAAGCCTCACAATATGTTAAAATTAAACTGAAAATACATGGATCAGGGGTTTTCATGAATATGTTTGCTGTTCAGTGATACATCATTAGTAAATGTTCTATTTCACTGATTTGTGATAAAAGAAATGACTTAAATGTTGCCATACTCATTTTGAAATGAGATATCTATCAAAAATAATTGCAAAATTTTCTTTAGTGTAATGAGATCATAATCTAAAATGTTAATCTATACTTCTTTCCATGGTCTTCCTGCGAGTCGTATCACGTGTTCTCTAGTCAGGCAGCTGGCAAAATAGTACTAAGAGTTCTCAGCGTTTGGTTATTAAAACAGCAATGTGAGGACTCACGCGGAAAGGGCTTGACTAATAGAAGAAATCAATGCTTAGTTTCATGTTCTCAAATACACACATGACATTTATGGCAGGGATAGTAGTTGAAAATGAAAAGTTTTCTGAGAGGGGCTTCAAGATGGCAGAAAAGAAGGACACGGAGCTCACCCTCTCTGACAAATACATCAGAAATATATCTACATGTGGAACAATTCTCACAGAATACCTGCTGAGCTCTGGCAGAAGATAGTGTACAAGTGAAGCTACAGGAAAGATCATCACGAAAACGAGAGTAGAAGGAAAAAAGAAATCAGGATGCGACGTGAGCCCTGGGAAGGAGCAGTGAAAGAGGAAAAGTATCCTCTCCAGCAGGAAGGGCAGCTGGGACAGAAGGGGAGCTTCAGAGGTTCGGAGGAGAATCCGGCAGCCACAAACAGAATGGAGAGAAACAGGTGCAGAGGATCTGTGTGGTCACCACCTGATACGTGCTGAGGCTGGGTGCTGGAGCTCGGACTTCAGAGCACGGACCTGGGGAAGGAACTGGGGTTGGCTGCATGGAGGCAGCCTGGGGGGCTGGAGTGTGCTACGGGCTTAGGCTGAGAGTGTGTGCAATGGAGCTTGGGTCCCATATATATGGCTCCATCGTTGGCACATCAAGGGAGGGGTGGGATTCAGCCATGGCAGCCTCTATCGCGTGCAGTCGCTGGTGGGTTGTACCTAAGCAGAGGTGGGGCAGAAATCTGAGCCCATTTCCAGGGGCTGCACAAATTCACAGTTGGGGCTAAAATTTGAGGCATGTCCCAGGCAGCCGTGGCAGATTTACACTGCCAATGCCTTTGTAAATTCAGTTGGGGTCTGGGTTGATCCTGGATCCCACCCGCGGGTCCAGATCCATGACTATGGCACGTCCTGGTGACTGACTTCAGTGGATCTGCCCTGGTGACTCAGTAAGCGCAGCACCTAAGGGACATCAGGGCACGTGCCAGAGTTCCCATGGCTGTGGTGAGGCCGAGGGCAGCGTCCACTATAGTGTACTTTGTGAGCCTGTACAACAGGTGACAGGTGACACCACAGAGGACACTTCCTGGTGGATCTCCTGTGGAAGAATATTCAGTGGCCCCCCTCTATCAGTGGAAGCACCCTAGCCTGGCCTACCACACACCGCAGCTTAGAAATGGATCTGGGGGCTTCTACTCCAACACCTGGGGAGCAGTCCCAGTCCCTGACAGGGCTGTGACAACCACAGAGCAAAGAGGAGGTTCCACTCAGTATCCAGTGCAGGCTGCGGTTTCCACAGCACCAGTCACACCCTCAGTCAAGGGGGTAACAGCCGGCACACACGGAGGAAAGACGTGGCAGGCGTGCATACTAAAAACAGCCCTTGCAACAAAAACATTAGATGCATACGATCTGCACAGGGACCTTCCCACATAAAACCAGTCCTTCAAGACCACTGTAGGTAACTGTCATTCCTGAATTCATAGAGTTAGAGAAATAAGTCAAATGAAGAAGCCGAGGGACCACTCTCAATGAAAGGAACAAGAGAAGTCCCCTGAAAGAACTTCCCATGGGCTCACCTTTTTCTTCTGTGACTACAACATCTAGGGGCAGGGAAAGAGAGGTTTCCCCTTGGTGTGTTTTAAAACCTCTCCAGCAGTCCCTCAGAGACTTTCTCCCACATTTCTTTGCTGTTCTCAAACCCATCACTGGCAGAATCATCCAGCTTCCCCTGAAGCACGTGGCTTCCCAAAACACAGACTAAGGTTAAGTCTCTCTTCGAAGGGGTAGAATAAAGGAAGAAGGCATTTGCCACACAACCTGAGCTACCCCACAGGACTGTGGTGGAGATGAAATGATGTGAGAGAACAAAAATGTAAAGACACCATTGGGTTGAGAACTTTGAAGCATAAAATATAGAATATTTCCTAACTACTAGCTCACCCGTTTTCAAGGATAACTATGAAAAATATTAAAAATTTTTTATAGACATGTTCTATAGAAAACCAGTATTTGATATACACTGTTCAGAATCCAGTGGCATGCAGGATTTATGGGAAGTCTGTAGTAAGGAAGTTTCTGTAATTTCTGCTGCTTTACTATTACAATTAAAAGTTGCTGGCATTATACTAGATTTGGAAACTGAGGGGGCCAACTAAATTTTCTGCCCCTCTTTGTGACCTCGGAAAAATAAAATATAGGAATAACTTTCCTAAGATGCTCAGGAGGAATAAATTTCCTAAGATATTCAAGAGACTTAGGTCTCTATAAAGGAATACTTTTCCTTTAAAGGAATATTTTTCCTATAAACATTGTCAAATGATTTAAAAAACTTAGGTTTAGATTTTAGGGTTTTTGTCTGCCAACATTATCATGAACAAAAACATTGATGACAATTTTCATCCATTTGACATCTTCTAGGAAAAGAATATCAAGTAATTTGAGCAAATCAAGAACATTATATTACATATAATAATTCTACAATTGTTAATTGGTAATCAAAAGGTCATTAAGTACAATAAACTTTCTAAATATTTATATTATCTGCTATGGTGATGAAATTACAGAACACTTTTATTTTAGTAACAAGATATGGTTTAAAGATTTAATTTATGTTACATAGAAAAATGTATGTTATATCGACAAAGAGTGACTTTACATTGTGACAAAAGACATTTTGGACACATTTTTTTTACTCTGTACTCAGAGCTGAGCTTTTGGACTAGATAGTGTTATTGTCAATATTATAAACCCAAAGGCATTCTGATGCCAGGGTAAAGAATGGAAAAATATTTAAAAATTTTTTAATAGAGTTTTATATAAGAGGGATGGCTGGGAATGAGGAGTGGTGGTAAAACTGAGCAATCTTATATAACATGTCCATATGTTGTGTCCAATTAAAATTAGAGATCATAACATGGAAACAGCCTTAATGTCCATCAACAGGTGACTGGATAAAGAAGATGTGGTATATTTATACAATGGAATACTACTCAGCCATAAAAACCGACAACATAATGCCATTTGCAGCAACATGGATGCTCCTGGAGAATGTCATTCTAAGTGAAGTAAGCCAGAAAGAGAAAGAAAAATACCATACGAGATCGCTGATATGTGGAATCTAAAAACAAAACAAAACAAAACAAAAAAACAAAACAAAACATAAATACAAAACAGAAACAGACTCACAGACATAGAATACAAACTTGTGGTTGCCAAGGGTGTAAGAGGTGGGAAGGGATAGACTGGGATTTCAAAATGTAGAATAGATAAACAAGATTATACTGTATAGTACAGGGAAATATACACAAGATCTTATGGTAGCTCACAAAGAAAAAAATGTGACAATGAATATATATATGTTCATGTATAAGTGAAAAATTGTGCTCTACACTGGAATTTGACACAACATTGTAAAATGATTATAAATCAATACAGAATGTTAAAAAAAATTAGAGATCATAAAAATAAAGAAATCAAACCTCTTATCCTCTTTTGGTCCATAGATATTTTTTTTCTTGCAAATGAGGAGAGGAGGTAGAGAAAGGAATTGCAGTCCAAGAAAAGAGCCTGGGCAATGGTAAGAAAGTGAAGAAAACAGTATGTTAAAAACCTAAGAAGTTTAGTGTTTTTGAGCAAACAGTCAGAGGTAGGGTGTGATGGGAGAAGGGACTAATGATGATGTCTTAGCATGAGACATGGGAGCCAGAAGAGCTGGAAGAGGTCAAAATATTGCAGGAGGGAGGAGAGAGAAGAGAGAAGACTCCTAAGTACTGTTATCCAATGGAAGTTCATATGCCCCACAAACAGTGAGACCAAAACATGCCAAAACATCTGAGCTCGGGGAAGAGAAAGTGTTCTTGCTGGGCTGAGCAAGGAGAACCTGCGTCTCATGCCCAAAATACCCAGAACGCCCCCAGAGGGTTTCAGCTGAGCCTTTTTAAAGGCCAGGCGAGGGAGGGGCGTCCCAGGGTACGTGATCCGCTGTGCACAGTTCTCTGATTGATTGATGGCGCCAGAAGGTCTGAGGGCCACATGCTCATGATCATCAAGTCCTTAATTTCTTCCAATTGGTGGAGGTTTGTAGCATCTGAAAAACTCAGGAAATATACATGAGCTTCTACTATCTGGGTACTTCAGAGGGAGCTACAGCAGAGGATATAGGGGAGCAGTCTGTCCCAGGAAGGACCCATAGGGTCCTGTTCAGTTACAATTCCCTCCCTTTCTTTCTTACTCCTCAATCTCA